TGTTATTCCAGCTGGCCCTAGGGAAGCAGCACGACTCTTAATCTTCCTCTGCCCCCTGGTGGCTTTCCGGGTGCTGATGGCTGTTCCTGCCTAATACAGCACTGCTACGCCACACTTTATTTTCTGCCTTATAAACACTACCATCTGACCAGAGCTGCTAGTAGTTGGCTTCTCCATCTGTATTCACCTCCAATTTCCTTCCAATGTTCCCAGTGGACAGAGTTTGTAGACTCATGACCTCTTGGAATACATGCCACAACAGTGGACTAAAGACCCACCCAGAGCTTTATCCCATATTTGAAGTTCATTCTGGGGAGCCATGCTGGAGGTGTGGATAGAGGCAAATGACCATGGTCTAGCAGTCAAGGAGATGGCAATATGAGTGCCAGGAGTGGGACCCCCAACCTGCGACATCTCCCTCGCACCCAAACTATCCCAGCTTTCCTGGTCCTTCCCCTTTTGGTCCTCCCCATACACACCACACCTCTCAGGATCCTTCACCCTGCATGGGAAGTCAGGGGTCTCCTACTAGGAGCTTTTCCAGATTAGCTCAGTCCTAATGACGCAATCTTTGATCTTGGCCCACCTGTCTCTCACCACCCTTTTAAAAGTAAATGTTATTCTTTTCCTTACTATAACAGCAAGACATGTTAATTGTGGAAAGTAGACAACACAGATGAGCAGAAATAATAAAGTGTTTAAAACCTGCAGAATATTACCACGTAAAGATAACCATTGTTACCACCTGGATGTATGTCCTTCGAGATCTTTTAACATACACCTGTTTCTGTTTCACCAAAGTAAGACTGACTTGTATCCATCGTTTTGTAATCTCTTTACACACAACACATACAATGGGGATTTCTTGCCTTGTCTACATAGGTTCTAATAATATTTTTTAAAGATTTTTTATAATTTACTTTCAGAGAGGCAAAGGGAGGGAGAAAGAGGGAAGCATCAATGTGTGGTTGCCTCTTGCTTTCCCTCTACTGGGGACCTGGCCCACAAACCAGGCCTGTGCCCTGACTGGGAATTGACTTCATGACCCTTTGGTTCCTAGGGAAGCACTCAATCCACTGAGCCACACCAGCCAGGGCTAATACTATTATTTTTAAGAATTCAACAGTATTCCTTTAATACATGGAGACGGCATAACTTACTTAACCATAACCAAATGAGGACATAGCTTATTTGTCCTTGTTTTGGACATTCACATGGCTTTCATTTTTCTGCCATCAGAAAGTGAACTGCAACAAACCTCCCTGTGGCCATTTTTAAAGTAATTTGAACTGTAAGTGTTCCTGTGCGTGGCATGTTACCTTGTTAAACCGTGAGGACCCCAGAGAGAGACTCATTCGCCCTTCTTGCCCTGAGGCAGACACACTTCCAGCCATGACAGTCCTCGCCTGCCCTCGCCCCTGCCCTCTGTGAGCACTGGGACAGTAGGCTCCTCACCTAACTCCCGCCCACCTCACCTCTCGGCTTCCCCAGGGCACCCACATGTCTTACTCTGTTCTCATGGAGTATTTTATCACTGACCTTGTTTAGAATTGCCCACACATGAAGATAATAACAACAGACTTTTAATCAGTTTTATTGATAGTTTAAAAGTTTTCTACAGACAATGCACTGGCTTGTTGCCAATCCAGGTTGTACTACCCCCACAGTCCTGCCTTCCTTTCAAGGTCCTTGTTCAAGATCAAATGGGATAATGTTTTCAGGGATCTCAAATTCAGTGTGGTCCTGGACATAAATCAGTAACCATCTATGAATTAGTTTCAAAGTAAGGTGACATTTTTACCCTGGTGGTTAGGTCCTTTATAATATACCTAATACTTGTATTATGTCTTGCAGTTAACAGCTGTTTTATATGGAGCTACCAGTCACTCTTTGAGTGCTTACTGTGTGCCAGGTACTGTGCTTAGAATCTGAACTAAATTGTTCCTAAGCTTCCCAAGAGAAGTAGGTATCAGTGGCCCCATGTTAGGGAAGAGGAAACTGGGGTTTACATCAAGGCCAACAGCATGGTGGAAAGACCTGTGAATTCAGCCCAGACCTGTTTGAACTGTTTATTGGTCAAGTTGCACAAGCTTCAGCCCACCGCATGGATGTGTCTCAAATAGGGACATTGAACGTGAAGGCCTTTAAGCAGGGCACAGGCTCCTGGGTCTTCACAGTCTGCACAGCTCTGTGACTGTGACTTCCACCACTTCACATGCTTGCCTCTCTGACTCCTGACCACACTGAATTTGAGATCCCTGAAAACATTATCCCATTTGATCTTGAACAAGGACCTTGAAAGGAAGGCAGGACTGTGGGGGTAGTACAACCTGGATTGGCAACAAGCCAGTGCATTGTCTGTAGAAAACTTTTAAACTATCAATAAAACTGATTAAAAGTCTGTTGTTATTATCTTCATGTGTGGGCAATTCTAAACAAGGTCAGTGATAAAATACTCCATGAGAGCATCTTCTGTTGGTATAAGTTATACACCATCGCTGTAATTACTGTTGAGTTTTAACAATAAATGGGTAAGCTTCATATTATCATACTTTATTTATTTATATGGACTGAATACCCAATGTTTTCTACTATACCCATTCATTTTGAGAAAAGTTTGTTACAGTTCAGAATTGCCCAACCACTCACCCAGCCAGCTCCTGTGATAGTCCATATTCCTGGCTTTAAACACTAGATGAGCCCTGGCTGGTGAGGCTCAGTGGATTGAGTGCCAGCCTGCAAACCAAAGGGTCACTGGTCTGACTCCCAGTCAGGGCACATGCCTGGGCTGTGGGCCAGGTCCCCAGCTGGGGAGCGTGCACATTGATGTGGTTGCCTCCCTCTCTTTCTACCTCCTTTCTCCTCTCTCTAAAAATAAAAAATAAAATCTTTTTAAAAAATTCTAAACACTAGATGAGAAATATACAACTATACACACAGTGATTGTAAAAAACAAAAGACAAAACAGTTGTTACTCCAATTCTGCCATCCTATGTGGATAGTTAGAATTTTCATTTGTGTTCAAAATGTAAAATAATGTCAGTGCAAACTGAAAGGTGTAATAATTTTGCTGAGCAATGCAAACTTTAATTCATACATGAAATATTTTACAGGATTCAAATATCTTTTAAGTTAATTAATATCTTTAAATTCTTAATTGTTCTACAGCTGAAAAATGAATCAAGAAAATAATTATTCTTTCTAAAAATAATTTTGTCCTTTAGAGGTAGAAGTGTCAAATACTCTAGGTCTACCACTGGGAAAAGACAAAATTTTATTTTTTTAGATATTTATTAGAATTATTATGGATTAATAATTTATTTCTTGGTTAATTAGTATTGTTATTAAGTGGATAACATTTGCCCTATGATTACTGTGTCAGGGTTCTCCAGAGAAACAGAACCTACATATATATGAGATTTATTAAGGGAGTGGACTCACACAATTATGGAGGCCAAAAAGGCCCCTGATCTGCCGTCTGTAAGCTGGTGAACCAGGAAAGCCATATGTGTAATTCATTCCACGTCCAAGGCCTGAAAATCAGGACCTAATGCTACAAGTCCTGGTCTGAATCCAAAGGCCCAAGAGTCAGGAGCACCAGTGTCTGGGGGCAGGAGTAGCTGGGTGTCTCAGCTCGAGCAGAGAGTGAATTTGCCCTTCTTTTGCCTCTGTTATATGCAGGCCTTCAACAGAATGGATGATGCCCACCTGCAGTGGGGAAGATGATTCTTACTCAATCTGATTCAAATGCTCATCTCTTCTATCAACACCCTGACTTACACCCAGAAATAATGTTTCCCCAGCTACTTGGGCATCTCTTAACCCAGTTAACATGCATAATTAATCACCACAATTATAAAGTTAAATAGTAGAAAAAATACACAATGAAGAATAAGTCTTCCTCCTAGCCCAGATGCCCAGGCCCCATACCTCACTCTAGATGCAATCATCATTTACACTTTTTTAAAAGATTTTATTGATTTTCACAGAGAGAGGAGGGAAAGAGAAAGAAAGGGAAAGAAACACTGATTGCCTCTTGCACACCCCCAACTAGGGACCTGGCCTGCAACCCAGGCATGTGCCCTGACTGGAATTGAACCAGCGACCTGTCAGTTTGCAGGCCAGCGCTCAATCCACTGAGCTATACCAGCCAGGGAATACACGTTTTTTAATTTATAGATAGATGTAATTTTAATCTCACTGAGGACACTGAGGTTTACAGAGGTTGAGTGACTACCTGAGATCACACAGCTGATGGAGCTAACAGACTGAACTAGATCTTTTCCTTGACACCACACTGCCACCCTGACATCATCCTGAGTTCACATGTATGTCCTGGGTTTGCATCCTGGACTGAGGAATCTTGGGGAAAGAAGGGCTACACATGGCACCTGACTGGGGCAGTACCCAGCACTGGGCCACTGGGCACTCTAACAGGGGGCCTGAGATCTGGCCCACGATTAAGCCTCTGCGTGGTGCTGGGCCAATCTCTTGGTCTCCCCACCTGTCCTTCTTACTCACTGGGCTAGGCTGGGACTCAGACAAGCTAAGCAGAAAGATGTCCAAAAAGTAAAAGTGTTGTACAGATTCAAGGAAGGAAGGGCAAAACATTATGATAGGGTTAACTTTGTACTTTGTTCAGATGTAAACTTCCTCAGAGTGTTACTTGTTCACTGCCTCCCTTTTAAAGAGGGCTGGCTTCTACTTTTCTACAAGTGCCCAGCTCAGTACAGATAATGAGCCTGTCAAAAGGGCAGCGTGGGCACCTTTTGAGGCCAAACCACATAGCCAGGTAGTGACACTTCCTTCAAGGAGCACCACAGGCATCCCAACCAGCTAGGGTGCAGGACAGCTGGGCCAGGAAATCCAATCATGAGGAGCAGCCTATAACCCCAAAGAAACACTTGTGCCCCTCCCCTGGATGGCACTCTCACTGCACAGACAGTACTGTATCACTTTAGCCCTCAATGTGTAACAGAACACCCCAAGACTTAGAAGCTTAAAACAATAACCATTTACTCATAAATCTGCAGTTTTTAGCCAGGCAATTCTGCTGCTGGTCTCATCTGAAGTTGTTCATGTGGCTGTTCATGTGGCTGTCCATGTGGCTGGAGTCACCTGGACCATCCTGGTCCAGGATGGCCTCATTCACAACCAGGGTGGTTGGCTGGGGCTGTCAGCCAGGATGCTTCGGTTCTCCTCCATGTGGCTCTCCAGCAGAAGAGCCTATGTTCTGTACTTGGTGATGGCAGGTCCCAAGAGAGTGAAAGCAGGGCCTCTAGAAGTCTAAGATACAGAAGTCACACGTTGTCACTTTCGACATATGTATTAGCCAAAGCAAGTCACGAGGCATTTCCAGATTCAAGGAGTAAGAAAATAAACTCTCCCTGGCTGGCGTAGGTCAGTGGATTGAGTGTGGGCTGTGAACCATAGCATCGCAGGTTCAATTCCCAGTCAGGGCACATGCCTGGGTTGCAGGCCATGAACCCCCAGCAACTGCACATTGATGTTTCTCTCTCTCTCTATCTCCCTCCCTTCCCTCTCTAAAAATAAATAAATAAAATCTTTAAAAAAAAAGAAAAATAGACTCTACTTCTTGATGAAAAAGATGCAAAATACATTGGTCATGGTTTTCAATACACCACACACTTTATAATCCACCATTCAGTAGTTCTCATCAATCAACCAGCCCACAATGATTAAACACCTAATATGCAGTAGGTATTGCGCTAGATGCTGAAGAATAAAAGAACTCTAAGAGCCAGTTTGTGCAAGAAAATTGGTGAAAGAATTTGAAATGAGCAAAAGTTTCCCTGAGTGCTTTTTCAATGGAATTGAATTCTGGGCTTTGTCCAGGGACCCTTCAGTGTCATTTGAATCTGTAAGGGTCTGTGCCTTTGACATTTTTTAAGTTTATAAAAAATAACTTATTTTAAAGACTCTCACTAGGACTTCAACATCTTATTTTCAGACACACCAAGAAGATAAGCAGTGTGTTCAGTATAACTTCTGATTGTGTTTACCTAGACTCACAGTTTTCTAAGTTGGAAAAACTGACATTAATGCAAATGACTTTTGTCCATAGGAATGCAAATGAACTTTGTCCAGTGAGATAAAATTGGTTTGTGCCCAGTAGACAAGATGATTCCAAATATTACATTTTCATACCTATAGGATATTAACCAGTTTTGTACCTATTAGCAAATTCATTTCAGCATTCCTGATAGCCTACAAATGTCTGCTCTTCAGATTCTCCTTTCAATTGGTTTTTAACAAATTACAGGTTTCCTCCTTAATTAGTGAGCTAAATAAAATCTGTGATGTGTGTTCACTACATATTTGTATGAGTCGTTATTTTACCTTTTAGAAAATTAGTCTACAACATAATAGCCTCAGGTGTAAATGGTAATAATAACAGTATCTCCCCATTGGGCTGTTGGGTGGATGAAATTAGACAAAATATATAGATATGTTATCATAGTACCAAGCTCATAACAATCCTTAATAAACATTACCTGCTTTATTGTTATTAATATTATCCAAAGGACTTATAATTTAGTTGGGAAATGACACAAAGCAACAAAGAGTTTACCTCATGCACTTCATGAAAAGACCAGTAACAGTGAGAAAGCCTAGCATCTGCTCTGGGCAAGGCAGAAGTTAGGGGCAACAGATGAGGTTGGAGAAGCAAGGTGAAGGCAGATTATGAAGTGCTTTCAATGCTAGGGAGTAGAGCCTTGGAAAGAGATGGAGTGTGTATCAGTCAGTGTTCTCCAACAAAGAGAACCAATAGGACATATAGAGATATATAAGACAAGATTTATTATAGGAATTGGCTCATGCAATTATGGAAACTGATAAATCCCACAATCTGCTATCTGCAAGCTGGAGAACCAGGAAAGCCAGTAATAGAATTCAGTCCAAGTCAAAGGCCCAAGAACCAGAAGCACCGTTGCCCAAAGTCAAGAGAAGATAGACGTCTCAGCACAAGCAGAGAGTGAGTTCACCTGTCCTCTGCCTTCTTCCATTCAAGCCCTCAGCGAACTGAACCATGCCCACCAGCATAGGTAAAGGTGATAGTTTCTTCAGCCTGCCAATTCAAATGCTAATCTCTCCCACAGGCGCCCTCACAGAAACACCCAAAAACCATGTTTTACCAGCTATCTGGGCATCCCTTCACAGTTGAGTTGATGCATAAAGGTACCCATCACAGAGCCCCGTTTTAGGAAATTTGATCAGGTGCTTGCTGTGTGCCGAGTAGATCTGGTGGAGAACAAGTGAAGTAGAACAATTCCTACAGCGGTCTGAAGGGGATTTTAGTTAAGCTCATGGTGTTGTGCAATCATTGCAATCAATTTTAAAGCATTCTCATTGCCCCCAAAAGAAACCCCATACCATTTAACAGTCATCCCTCATTCCTTCCATCCCCCAGTCTTAGGCAGCCACTGATACGCTGTCTTTATAGATTTGGCTATTCTGATCATTTCATATAAATGGGATTATGAAATATGTGGGTTTTTGTGACTGGTTTCTTTCACTTAGCAAAATGTGTTCAAGTTTCGTCCATGTCACAGCATGTATCAACACTTCACTCTTTTTTATTGCCAAATGATATTTTCTCTGGATACAAAGTTCCAGGGTGCTTACACCTTAGGGAATTTTCTTTTTCTTCTGGCACTTAAAAAATCTTGTTCCTCTGTCTTCCAGGCTCCATAGTTTATAGTAAACCCATGGCCATTCAAATCATTGGTCTCATGTATGTGACATCACTTTTTTCTGAATGCTTTTGAGATCTTCTTGTTGTCATTGGTTTTTAGTATTCTGTGACAAGAGTATTTTCTTCACATTTATGCTTTTTAGGGTTTGCTGAGCTGCTTGAGTTTTAACCAAATGTGGGCAGCATAGAGGTATTATTTCTTCAAATATTATTCCACCCTCTCTCTTTTTCCTCTCCTTTTGAGACTTCCATAAGATGTCTTTTCATGTTGTTCACAGGTCCCTAAGGCTCTATTCACTCCCCCACCCTTCTTCAGTTTTGATCATTTCTATTGATTGACCTTCAAGTACTGACTCTTTCTTAATTTTGTTCTTAATCCTATCTCATGAAATTATTTCAGATATTTTAATTCTAAAATTTCCATTTGGCTTTTTATATTGTCTATTTCTCTGCTGAGATTTTCTACCTTTTCATTCATTCCAACAACATGTTACTTTATCTCAATGAGTACAGTTCCAATAGCTGCATTCAAGTCCTTGTCTGATTGTTTCAATATCTAGGTCTTCTCAGGGTCAGCCTCTGTTGATTTTCCTGTTCCTGGGAAAAGGATCACATTTTCCATGTTCTTCATATGTTGAATATTTTTATTGTATCCTGTACATTGTGAATGTTATGTCGTGGAGACTGTAGATATATTTTCTGTGGTAGGCAGAATAACAGCCTGTTCAAAGATGTCCACATCTGAATCCCTGGAATCTGTATGTTATGTTACATGGCAAAGGGGAAGAAAAGCTACAATGGAATTAAGGCTACTAACCAGATGACCTTAAAATTGGAAGACGATACTGGATTATCAGGTGGACCCAGTGTATTACAGGGGTCCTTAAGAGTGAAAGAAAGTAGGGAGAGAGGAGTATAAGGGGGCTAAATGCAAATGGAAAAAAATACAATAAAAATCGCCAAAAAAAGTGAGAGAGCATTGGATGTAAGAAGGATCCAACCTGAACTCTCTGGCTTTGTTAATGGAGGAAGGGCACCATGAGCCAAGGAATGTGCGCAGTATATAGAAGCTGGAAACAACAAGAAAGCAGATTCGCTCCCAGGGCTTCCAGTCCTGTCCTTAGTTCGGTGAAACCCATTTCAGACCTCTGACCTCCAGAGCTGTAAAGAGAATAAAACTAAGTTTGTAGTAATTTGTTATAGCAGGAGAGGAAACTAACATATCCTCCAAAGACATTCGCCTTTTTATTTTAGCAAGCCATTAAATTAGACCCAAACTGCAAACTCTCATTTGAGGTAGACGACAGCAGCTCAGATCTCAGTTTGATCCTCTTTCTTTCCTCAACTGAACTGTTTGCAGCAGAACTCTGGTTCCCTTCTTCCCTGCCCCCCCACCCCCCACCCCCCTACACACACACACACACACACACACACACACACACACACACTTTCTGAGAGCAGAGACTTCCCTGGGCAATGCCTTCCTAAAGGCAGAAACATGGTAGCTTTTCCAGGAAAGCTTCAGCCATACTGGGCTGTGCCACGCCACATCAGCACCTTCTTCCCAGTTTTGTCTCTCCTCCAAAATCTGCTTGCCTTTCTCACAGCTTTTGCAGAGTTGTAGGTTTGGTTGTTAGGTGTTGTTGTTGGTGGTGGTGGCGGTGGTGGTCGAGTTTACTGTTATCTATGACAGGGTAAATCTACTGAAAACTTATTCACCATACCCAAAACAGAACCCCTATATAATATTGATATATATTTAAAATTAACCTTACACATTCAAAACTCAGAGATTAGAAAAACATTTTAGAGAAATACACACCGTTAAGGTAGTGATATACTTCGCTTGGATTGTGTGAACATAAAGCAGAAAACAATGATAATCTATTATTTCAGCTACACAAGCCGAACGAAAGAAGTACCTGGCATATGAACCACATTCTCTGATTAATGGATTAGCTTAGCTCTGGTTATCTGAAAAATGTCTTTGCCAGCTTTACCAGAAGGAAGATCATAATATCCACAATTAGCATCACAGATTCAAAAAATGACAAAAAAGATCTTTGAAATTATCTAGTTAAATGCCCTCCTTTTACAGATAAGAATTCTAAGGCTTAGACAAAAACAAGGGAATGATTTAACAAAAATTTATTATTATTATTAATGTTGAAATTTTTAAAGTCAGGTATAATTATATATACATATGTGTAATTTTATATACACACACACACACATACACCCAGGGTGGTCTTCAGAAGGAAATTTGGACAATTTCAACCAAATTATTGTAAGAACCTTAAATATTAATTTAAGCTAATTAGCTTGGTAAATTCAGACACTGGAAGACAAATATATACTTATGTGCATTTCTTTGTTTCCTTTAACTTAGTTTCCAAACATTTTTCAGTTTGAAAAATCCTAAAGGAGTAAATTTTTGCTTTCTTCCTGTGAAGGAAACCACTGTTTTTAAGGGCTACATTTCCCAGTTCAATGAAATAAATCCAAGCATACAAATCAATGTGTTACAATAACTTCTTGAAAACCTCCTCAATGAATGTCTATAATTCCTTGAAAGTCTGACTTTAGCACCAACAAATATATACTGAGCACCAGCAATGTTCCAGGTGCTAAAGCACGGAAAACAGTGATAATCAACATGGATTCTGCCCTTGAGGAGTTGATGGACAAGTGAAGGCAATTCAAGGAGAATGGTGACAAATGCCAAAAGATACAGGCACAGTCCTGGGGGGGGGGGTGTTCGGAGAAAGAAGCTCAGCAAAAGCTTCCTAGAAAAGGTGACGTTTGAAAAGCCCTTATATTGTTGACCCATTTGGTAGTGAAGGAGGAAAGCATATTCCAAGCAGAAGGAAGAGCAAAGGGGAAAAAAAAAGACGAGGTCAGGAAAGCACAGGTGTAGCTGGCTGGAACGTAACAGCAAATAGAGAGGATAGCAGGAAAGAAGTGATTTGGGATTGGTAGTCTTGAATGTCTGCCTAAGCCATGTAGAATCATGAGAGGTTTGTTAGCAGCAGACCTATACCTGTCCAGACCTATACTTTGGGAAATAAATCTGGTAGCTACACATGACATGGAATGAAGCAAGGAAAGACTGTAGGCAGGAAGACTCATTAGGAGACTAACAAAGTATTGAGAGTGAAAAATGACAAGGGAAATAATAGGAAAATGGAGAAGAGGATATGAATGTAAGAGACACTGCAAATGTCAGGACTTGGAAAGTGATTTTCAATAACCAATTTCTGACCCACAGAAACTGAGAGAATAAATGTTTATTGTTTTAGGATAATTTGTTATACAGCAATTGATAACTACCAGTTTGTTTCTTCCGGGTTTCTTCAGAACAAATGCTACAAAGTGGTTGTCATAGACTTCTCATGAGATTTTAACAGTTTTCTTTATTTTTTTTTTAAGATTTTATTTTCAGAGAGTGGAAGGGAGAAAGACTAGGGGCGAAACATCAACGTGTGAGACAAACCTGGGGACCTGGCCTGCAACCCAGGCATTTGCCCTGACTGGGAATCAAACTGGTGACCTTTGATTTGCAGGCCAGCACTCAATCCTCTGAGCCACAGCAGCCAGGGCATTTTCTTTATTTTTTTAAAGCAGTCTCTAGGAAACTGGAAAGGACAGAAACCTGAGAAAGACGGTTCTGGGTCCACCACTCTACCACTTGCTGGCTGTGTGCTCGCACATAAGGTACTTACTGTTTTGGAGCCTGAGTCATTATTTTAAAACACTATTAATAACATTAACCTTAGAGTAGGGGTCCCCAAGCTCCTGGCCAGGGACTGGTTCCAGTCCGGTCCTGTTAGGAACCGGGCCTCACAGCAGGGGGTGAGCTTGAATGTAACACACTTGAATCATCCGGAAACCATCCCCCCACCCCAGTCTGTGGAAAAACTGTCTTCCACAAAACCATTCCCTGGTGCCAAAAAGGTTGGGGACCGCTGCCTTAGAGGGCCATTGTGAGGACTACACAAACTAGTTTTTAAGTGCCTGTATTATACCCTTAAATACACAGGGGCTTAGTAATTGCAAGTTTCTCCCTACACTGTATATCCTTATCTTATCTGGCTTTTCTCAGAACTTTCTGAAATCTACTGTCTCCAATGGTAACTGGGACAATGCTTTTTTTCCTTAATTCTCAGGTATTATTCCATTTTAATGATCCAAACCAGGAGAAATACAAAATCTCAGGCTCACCCCAGTCCTACTGATTTGGAACACAGCTTTTAACAAATTTCCCAGGAGATTTGTAAGCACATTAAAATATGGGAAGCACTGAACTGGTAGCTACCTCAAACTTAATAGGGCCAAAACAGAGCCCACCCACCCTCTCCAAACCTGCTCCACCCCAGGCTTTGCCATCTAAGTAAACTGTATCAGCCACATGTTCATGCCAAAAATTTGGGAGTCATCTTTGATAGCTCCCTCTCCTGTGTCCTATGTCTAAGCAAGCACCAAGTCTACTTCCAAAATATTCCTGCATATATCCCTTTCCATCCTACACTATGTCTAGACCACCACCTTTGCTCATCAGGATTACAGCAGCTAGGGCTGGCTTAATTGAGCTGACACAGCAGGCACAGTGCCCAGACCCCGCCACACTTTAAGGAGACCTCAAAAACATTTTAGTTTATTTTAAAAATTATAAGGGAAAAACCCATTCAGGTTAAAGAAAATGTCTTAATGTATAGTATCAACATATTTGTCTTTATAACAATCATAAAATATAATTTTTAATATTTTTTTATAGAGAAAGGAACCTATGAGCGCAGAAATGCCTAGAGTTCATGAAAAGTCGCAGTGGGGGCAGCAACCTTTTAAATGGTTTTTCTCTTCCATTATTGCATCTGTATAATCCACTCTCCATTCAATAGCCTGAGTATTCTTATTGTGGCAGGTTTTTTTCACATTAAAGTACAACTTCTATAAGTCAACTGCACAAATCTTAAGTGTACTGTGTGATGAACTTTTTACATAAATATACAGTTGTATAACCACTACCCAAATTGATACTAATCTTTCTTAAAATTTTATTTCAAGTCATGACATTCCCTCATATAAAATCCTCCCATGCTTCCCCAACTCACTTAAAATCCGAACTCCTAAACCTGGTTTACAAAGTCACATATGATACAACCCCTACTTACTTTTCAAACTTCATTTTATACTCCTCCCTTACCATACCCCAACTATCAGCCTTCAAATTCTTCAACTTGCCAAGATGTTCCTGCCTCGGAACTTTTGATCTAGCTCTGCATCCTCTGCCTTCTCCTAAAGCTCCTCCTAAAGATGTTCTCAGAGCTAGCTGTTGTAATTCTCAGATCTTAGTTTAAATGTCACTTCCTCAGAGGCCTTCCCTGAGCAGGCAATCTAAAATCGCACCCAGTCGGGCCTAACCCGGTGGCTCAGTTGGTTGGAGGCTCCACTGGTACACCAAAAGGTTGCAGGTTTGATCCCTTGTCAGGGCCCCATACAGGAAGCAGCTGATTAATGTTTCTCCCTCACATCATGATGTTTCTCTCTTCCTCTCTCTCTGAAAGCAATAAAACAAATCCTTGGGTGAGGCATAAATAAATAAAAATAAAGTTGCAGCCAGTCATCTTTTATCAAAATCACCTTAATTACCTAGAGTGCTTATCTTTCCTCACTGGACTATAACCTCCTTTGGGGAGGTTTTGTTATCTCTTGCACTCAAAAAAAGCCATTAACAGTGCCTGACTCATGGTAGATAACCAATGCAATTTTTCATTGAGTAAAGTGCTAATATGATAAAATGCAGCATTAGCCGGAGAAGGACGGATAGCACTCGTCTCTGAAATCACGGGCCTGAGTTTGAACTATCCAGTAACGTAAAGGATTAAATGACGTGAAAACCTTTGGCAATTAAGTGTTCTATATTTTTTACTTTATTCTTCTAAATAAACAAAATTAAACCCATCATTACGCAGGATTTTGGGCTTGTTTTGAATCAACAAAAATGGACTTAAAAAGAAACTCAAAATACTCGCTTTCAGAAAACCAATTGTGGTACACCTGTTCTGAGCTGCAATCCGCTACCCTTCCGCCCCCATACGCGACCCTAGCCAGAGCGGACCGGCCGCTTCCGCTTACCCCACCGACAGGAAGTCGCGAATCCACAGACCCCGTCAGGGACTCAGGCCTTGCCCCTCGTCCGTGCGTAGGTCTACGTAAAGCGTTAGGGGTTTCGCGACAGCCCAGGCCCCACCCCTTCGGCCACATGTCGCGCAGGTCTTCCCGTCGGACGCTGCGCCACCTCCTCGCGCTGCTGTACAAACTTAGATCAGCGACGCCCCGCCTCTGTCTCACTCCTCACCTCCCTGCCCCCCTCCAGTTTCGCGTCTCCTTGCTGGCGCTCCCGCTATAATCACGTGATTGCTTCATCCGGGTCCTTTGCGTTCTCTCTCCCTCTCCCAACATGGCGGCCTCAGGTGAGTGAGCGGCCGAGTGCGTCCAAGGAGCGGGCTCCTAAGCCACTCATTGAGTCTGATCCACTGATTCCCTGGAGTCGGGGAATGGGCGGCACTGCTTTCCTTCGGATTTGAGGGCTGCGGCAGGCTGGAGGCTTGGCCACGTTAGGTTATCGCCTTGGGATGTTTGGGGGAAGGGGAAGGACACCCTCCCCCTCACACCCTTTTCACCCCATTTGCGCGAGGTTGGAGCGGGGAGTAATGATGGACTCTCTCTGGAGTTGGAATGAAGAGGAGACGCAGAAAGATCTGCGAGAGGCGTGAGGCCTTCTCGGAGGCTTGAAGTACTGTGCCGCCGTGAAAGCGTGGAGGAAAGGAGACGGTTGCCGCGCGGACTGGTGCACACTAGCCTAGGTCTCCTAGGCGCGAGGCCGTTGCGGACGGGAGTGGGGGCAGGGGAATGGGGGGGGCAGTTAGAACGCGAGCGCGAGTCGGTGAAGGGGCGGGGGATGGCAGCGGTGCGCGTGCGCCGTAGAAGAGCCGAGGGTAGTGGAGACGGGCGCGCCTTAAAAGCACGCGCGAGCGCAGATGGCAAGATTTTAGGCGCCTGTGTTGCTTTCTTTTCTGTCCTCACACATCTGCTCTTCCCGTTTTAGAGTGTGGCCCGGCCCATGTGTTCCAAGGGTATGTGTTAGGTTGGGAGGTTGAAGTACTCGAGTTAGGTGGGAGTGGGAAACCCACTATGGTGTGCCCACGTGCTGGAGGAGAGGAAACAAGGGTGAAGACCTGGATTACTTCTGGGCTTTTTCTCTTAATTCAGTCAACACTTTTACTGAATGCAAACTATACTAGGCATGTTTCGTGGTGTTGAAGATGCAGTGATGAACGAGATCAGATCTCTTGACAGCTCTCACTTTGGTTAAATGTTTATAACTTAAGCAGTGGGGTTTAGCCCTTTTTTTTTTTAAGATAATTGCGCAACTACTAAGAGCTCTTTATTCCCAAACAGTACAGTGTAACAACCTTTTGCATAGCATTCACATACTAGGTATTATGAGTAATCTAGGAATTATATAAAGTATGTGGGAGGATGTGTGTAGGTTATATGTAAATACTATGCCATTCTACATGGAGAAGTTGAGCATATGAGGAGTTTGGTATCCAGGGAGGTCCTGGAACCAACCCCCTACAGTATCAAGGATCAATCAACTGTAGTTCTTTTTCCCTGGCACGATCTTGCATTGTACAAAACATTTACTGAACAGCTTCTATCTCTGGACACTCATTTGTCCCCAAGAATTTACATCTCTATTATTACATAGGAGGCTAAGGATTGTCTATGTCTTTGGGAAATGTTGAGGGAATTGAAGTGCATTTGAACCTTTTCATTGGTCTAGCACTAGACAGTTGACCAAGCACTTTTATGTTTCTTGTCTCATTTGATGTTCTGTGAGATAAATGTAGGCAAGTGGTGGTATCTCCTAGCTGAGGAAGAAGAAGTTATTTGTTGTTCAAGGTCACACTATGCAGGTGGCAGAACAAGGTCGAAGTCTTTGAGCCTCCTGACTCTTCTCCATTGTCAGCTTGGAAATAACAACGTTGACTTCATGTCATAAGTTTGGGGTCTTGTCCAAAAGTTTCACCTGAAGCAAAGTGCTTATTCAGCCTGGATTTGCCATCTTGACAGCTTAGGGTCATGATTAGTGAAAAGCCTATACTCCCTTTCTCTGTAACTTTTGTGGAATTTTTTAGAAGTGGAAGCCACATTAGCAATTTTGTCATTCATTTTACAGAGTTGAGTGAAATCCAGATTGGTTAACAGAATTTGCTTAGAATTTTGATGTTCCATATTTGCCTCCTTGGAAACCTTCATCTCCTTTAATCTCATAAATCTTTTTAGATTGTGTAGTACCGTAAAGGACACTGTGCTAGTGTATGAGCACAGGTTACATCTGACGGTCTACCCTTGAATTTGGGATTTGTCAAATTTTTTTCTCACACTTAGAATCTTTTCAGATCAATTGCATTGACTCCATTGAATGATCAGTATTCCCACATATTGGTCACTCAACCAACATGGCTGTATTAATAAGGTTATAAAACTCCCAAAGTGTATTTTCAGTATACTTCTTGATGTTAAATGTTTTTGATACAGGTTAATGTTTGAGACCAGAATGCTTTAAAATTGGGTATGGTATGCGTATGTTCATGAAGGCCTTTCATTTGCATGACACTTTTCAAATTGATGTTATATGAAGGATCTTGTTTATTTTTATAGAAAGGGTGGTGTCTGTTGGTAGTTTTTGTACAATGCCAAACCTTAAGTTAAAAATAGTAGTCATTGGTTGCCATTTATGCTGTTTACATATTACCTATTTTCAAATCCTGCCCTTGACCATGTGTTACTCTGTGAGTAATATACCCAGAATCAGAAGGCCAAGACTAAAACTTAAGAAAATTCAAGTACAAATACAGAGAGTGGTGTCAAAGTAAAACAGTGCTTCTAAGTAATGTCATTTAAATATACATAAACAGGATGTTGTTGCCCCCCCCCCGTGATTTTATTTATTTATTTATTTTTAGAGGGGAAGGGAGGGAGAGAACCATCTTTGTGTGGTTGCCTCCCGCACATTCCCCCACTGGGGACCTGACCTATAACCCAGGCATACGCCCTGACTGGGCATTGAATCAGCGACCCTCTGGTTCACAGGATGGCACTCAATCCACTGAGCCACACCAGCCAGGGCTATATAAACAGTTTTGAGGTATAGATCACATACCATATGTATATGGCTTGAGATAGAAGACCCTACTACTGCTTAAAACATCCTAGAATTCTGTCATGATGGTGAGGGAAAGAATGAACTTAAGGGTTTGATTTGGTTGTTTGTGTATTTGTTTTACCCGAGTACTTATTTGTAATTAACTACATGTGTATACATATACAATTGCACACACCAAAGTCTGTTTCTTAGGTGGTCCTAATGGTAGGAAAATGCCCACAGCAAGACTACACCAAAAATTCTTGAATTTTTATAGTTCCTCTCTTAACAGAAACTCCAAGAATTTTGTGTAATGACTAGCATGATGTGTATTACATGCTTTTTTAAAAATATTTAATGTAAATTATCAAATTGAGTATCTGAAGAGGTGAGGAAAGGGAAATAGGCATTTTCCTCAGATTGTGTCAAGATGAAGAAATTGGGCAGAGAAGAGGGGTTCATATATAAGTGAACACAGGTTGAGGTGGTGGGACTTATTGGTCTTGACTTAACCTTTATGCTCTACTATGCCAAACTACAATGCAGTAAAGGTGAAGCCTCCCAACATGATGATACTGCATTGTATGAAACCTCTTTTCATGTCAAGACTCTAGCAGTATAATTACTGTAGTTCTAATTCTGGAGGATTTGGCAGGATTTACTTTCTAAGGGAAATACCTTAGCCATTAGCAGTCATTTATTCTCACTCCTGCCCTCGGCATTAATCTACAATTTGTATTTTTTTTAAAGATTTTATTTATTTTTAGAGAAAGGGGAGAAACCTCAATGTGAGAGAGAGGCTCATCGATTGGTTGCTTCTCACATGCCCTCAATGGAGGACCTAGCCTGCAACCTAGGGATGCGCCCTGACTAGGAATCGAACCGGTGACCTTTTGGTTTGCAGGCAGCAGGCTGATGCTCAGTCCAGTGAGCCATACCAGCCAAGGCTATAATTTCTTTGCTTTTACCTGATCTGAACCTTTTATACGAATGGAATAATATAATATGTGGGCTTTTATTGTTAGCTTCTTTCGATTAGCATGTTTTCAGGGTTCATCTGTATTATAAGAGGTATGGGAACTCAGTCTTTAATTGCCAAATTTATCTATTCATCAGGATATTTGGCGGACATTTGGTTGTTTCCATGTTTTTGCCATTATGAACACTGCCTATTATGATACTATATCATCAGTTGCTATGATATTATACAGGTTTTTATGATACTTTCTGACTTTCTTAACCTGTAGTTACTAAAACAGAAGAGTTGATAACCCTATAAAATAAGTAGGACTTAGCCTGACAAGATCTGAAATTAACTAACTTAATTTTTGACAAAGCCTCATCTGAATGTTAAGAGCTAAATGAATTCCCCTTCCTAAAGAAAAGATAACAGTATTACCAATCTGATGAAGTAATAACAGGAAAACATTCTGAGAAAAGTAAAACTTTTCATGCTGCAACCTGATAATCCAATGTCTGGAGGCGGTTTTGGTTGTCACAGTGGGGTAGGGACTTTCCTGCTGGCCTCTAATGAGTAAGAGGCTAGAGATGCTGGTAACCGTCCTACAATGCACAGGACAGCCCCCTAACGGAATTACCCAGCCTACAATGTCAGTGGTGTAGACATTGAGAAACTGACAGTTAAGTTTTATATCTATCATTACAAACCCTGTTTATTAAGAAGGGTTAGCTGCAAATGTTTTGTCTCGTTTAAGGACTTGCAGTCTTAGTGTTGAAGAATGCTGCCTTTTTAAGATGTTTTAATTAACCTATATGTTACAAAGAACTTCATAAGTACAGTTTTGGTCCTGTATATCCATGGGTTTCACATTGGTAAATGTTACCAGTCGCTGACTGAAAAAATATTAGGGGGAAAAGGTTATGTTTGCTGGTGTGTACTATGTAGTTAGGTTTGCGATGGTTGCACCTGTACTGACAATGTACAGACTTTTTTTTTGTTTTTTTTTTAAGAAAGGGAGAGAAATATCAGTGTGTGGTTGCCTCTCACATGGCCCCCACAACCCAGGCATGTGCCCTGACTAGGAATCGAACCAGCAAT